CAAAATCCGCGTGCTGAGTCCAAGATTTTAGCTCAAAATACACATTTCTGGGTCCCACAGAGGGACTGATTCTAAACTTTACACTGTTACAGCCAGGACAAAAGCTGCTTTACTCTCTAGAGCATGGCTGGTTTATCCACCAAACCTACAGCAGTGAAACACGGTCAGAAGTTTCCCAGTCTCTTGGGAATCTATCTGTTTACAAACTTTTTACTTTGCCTTTTAGACTCTCTTTCAATTGAATTTTGCAGTTAAAAAGGAGTTTCTCAGAGCCCTGAGCACTCATTTATACACATAAAACCCACCCATCCTTACCAATACATCCCAGCCATCTTTTGGAGATCCAACTCCAGGGACTGCAGAGCCAAGTACATTTTAGTTTTAAGTTTGCTGAGGAAAAAGAAAAAACAACAACAGAACAACATAAGAAAACTTGAACTGAGCAGTGCACACCTACAGCTTGGAAGTTTGTTTCCTTTTATATATGTGGATACAAATAAATGTAGTCTAGGCCTGTTTGATTTTATGTATGGGGATATAAATACATTCCAGACTCACTTCTCTCCTGGCAGCTTGTACAGGTTCACGAGCCCCCTCAGATGTTTAGAAAACTCATCAAAATTTTTCTCTCTGAAAGGAAAAGGGAGGGAAAGTTACCAAGTATTCAAATTTGTAACAGAGAAGGGGTTTTTACACAAAGAGTTGTTAATACAAAGCCACATCACAAGAGACTTTTGCTACATAAAAGCTACAAAATGTGTCCTTTAAACGATTCAGTGTTAAAGCCCTGCTGTGGCTTTGGAGACACCTTGCAGAGCAGCCAGAATCACAAGGATCTGAATCAAAGCCAGCAAACCCCCTGGAGAAGGGGAGAGACTTCGTGGGGAAGGAGCAGTTACGAAACACTTTGTGTTTCCAGACAGAAAACACCATCAGATCACCCCAGCAAAGAGAAACCTGTCAGAAAACACAACCACCAAACCTTGTTACTCACCTCAGATGCTGCACCAGTTCTGGACAGCTCTGGAAAGGAAAGAAAGAACAGGGATATCAGTGTGGGATGCAGTGATTTCAGGTTTTGTGCAGCACAGCAACTGGAAAATCTCAGGAGAGTAAAATTCCTGAGCACCAGCTCTCCCTGAGGAACAACCCAATGCTCACAACCACACCTTGCTCTGGTTCTAGTTCTGCTCGTTAAGCCCCACTGGGACAAATTCAAGCAAGAATATTCCCTCTTAAATGGTTTACCTGAAATAAACTTTTCAAATTGTGAAGCCTTAAGCTGGAAATCTATGACTTTATGTAGAAATTAAAGATGGTCTGTTGTCAGAAGAGGCCAATTTAATACCAAGTTCAAACTCTCCTCCATGTGCAAAAGGGCAATAAAGCCATTTTCTTCTAGCATTCCCCCTTTTAGTACTTTCCATTCCATTAATTTCCCTTTCCTTTCCTCAGAAACACGGCAATAACATCCACAAAATTCTCAGAATCACAGAAAGAACTTCCTCAAATAACTTTTCCAGCTATAAATCCACACTGTACATCAATCAGATTATCCCACGGGAGCAAACTACTCCATGGAGGACTTTACTTCCCACCAGAATGAGCACTAAAGGTGTAACTCCAGGTGTTGGGGAACATTAAATACAACCCATTTCCTGAAAGGGAGGTGAATGGCAATCCCAAAACCACAAAGGCATTCCCACCCTCTTTCCAGGGAATACCCACCACAGGGTTTTCTCCATGGTGGGCCACCTTGACATCACAGAGCAGCCCGGTGGGATCCAGCTGCACTTCCACGTAGAACATGTCCGAGGTGATGTAGCACTCGGTGCCGTTGGCGCTGAGGTGGGATCCCAGGCTTTCCAGAGAAAACAGAACAGAGATTGCTGTGAGATGCACATGAACCCCTCAAGTCCCAGCAGCAGCAGGAGGGGCTGGTGTGGGCAGGGAAGCAGGGAAGGTCTTGCCCAGGAGCTCAGGGGGACCCACCCGCTCTGCCGGGCGATGGACTCCAGGCGGTCGGTCATGGCAGGTAGGGATGAGACTGGGGAGAGAACAGAAACAGGGCTCACTGTGATGAGCTGATGTTCCCAGAGGAATAAATCAGAAATAAACCCAATCCCAACCAGTCAGTCCCTCACTCCTTCCCACGTGCAGCTACAGAGGATCTGTGCTCCAGTACAGGCAGAACCACCTGCACAGAGAGAGCAAAACCTTCCCAAACTGCACAGAGAGAAGGGAACTTCTGCTGCAAGCGGAATCCAGGGATGGATTAAAAATTCCCTGTACCTTAAAACCCATCCAGTCCCACCCCCTGCCATGGGCAGGGACACCTTCCACTAGCCCAGGTTGCTCCAAGCCCTGTCCAGCCTGGCCTTGGACACTTCCAGGGATGGGGCAGCCACAGCTTCTCTGGGCAAAGAGAGGATTTTCCCAATAAAGGCAGCACAGCCAATCCTGCCTGGTCCTGCCTGGCTCTGAGCTCGGTGTGCTGATGTTCACATGAGCACCAGGAGATGTGCCAGCAGCGCCCTGGGTGTTTTTATGGAGCGTTCCCACAGGATTTCACCACCCAGAGGACACACCAACCTTTCAGGGCCTTCTGCAGTGTCTCCAAGCAGCTCACCAGGTGCTGGTGCCCCCCCGAGTTCAGCACAACTCGCTTTTCCTTGGTCACAAAGAAGAAGAAAAAAGGTCATTTTTGTGTGTTCCTCAGGAAGTGGGAATTATTGCAACTTTTGTGCAGCCAAGACAGGTTTATTGAGGTAACTAAAAGCAGGTTAGATTTCATCCCCAAATCACGTCCTCTTGATTCCTGTAGGAGAACAGTACCTGCTTTGGGGGCAGGTAACAGAGGGAGGCCTGGAAGTGATTTATTTGCTTTCTGGCAACTTGCTCAGCTGGAAGAACAGATTGTAACAACTTTTAACAGGTCTAAACTCAGAGTTATAAGAGAGAGGACAGAGAAATAAGGAGCCAGGCACACTTTTAGCACCTGGATATGTGCAAAGGGCTTTGCTGGAGCTCTCCCTTGCCTCCTGCTCCTCCTTCCCTCCTCACTCTCAGAGACTAATATTTCAAACTAATAGTTTTTCAAACTAATAATACTTCAAACTAACAATACTTCAAACTAACTTTTGACTAAGCCAACACTGAGTGTTCGATATCACTGAACAGGGAGCAAATTGCTCTACAAAACAGTATCTTGAAACAGCAAATAAAAAACACAAGTTTGACCCTTTTCCTGGCACTGAGCTGAAAATTAATGTGTAATTAGCAAAGCAAAGGCTCATCAAGCAGGGAAGGCTTGGACATTCCTCTCTCCCTGCAAGGACTGACACCCCTCAACCCCAGTGACCCAGGAGGGAGTGAAAATCTTGGGCAAAACAGAAACACGTCGAGGAGATCTGAGAAGCCACCACAAAAAGAAACCAGAGCCTGGGAATCCTCACCATGACCTGCCGGACCAGCTTCATGGTCTCTGTCCAGGGCCTGTTCTGGCTGTACTTGGCGTGGAGCCTCTCCAGGAGGGAGCTCATCTTGTTCAGCTTCTCCGCCTCTGGGGGACAGGAACAGTCAGGGAAGGGCACGAGGCAACACTGGAGGTTTTACAAAACACCTCCCACCTTTAGGCTAAAGACGATTTCAAATAAATTTATCTGCTGCTGATTTACCCCCAGACCTCAGGGCCGAGGTGGGTTTGGAGATGTTTGTGTGGATCAGTGGGATCCCCTCTCCAACTGGGTATTTCTACAGATATTTGACATATTTGTATGGATTGATGGAACCCCCTCTCAAATGAGGCATTTGTACGGATATTTATTTGTACGTATTGATGGAATCCCCTCTCAAATGGGGTATTTGCATGAGTATTTCATATATTTGTATATATTGATAGGATCCCCTTTCAAACGGGATATTTGTATGGGTATTCGGGATGTTTGTATATATTGACGGGGTCGCCTCTCCAGCGGGATATTTGTATGAGTATTTGCGAGATTTGTACGGACTGGGGGGCTGCCCTCTCAAATAGGATATTTGTATGGCTGTGGGTGTGGGTTCACGGGGTTCCCTCTCCTCCTCCTCTTTCCTAACCAGCCCCGCTCACAGAGAACCCCCAGACCGCTCACACCTTTGCGACCCTCGCTCCCCACGCCTTGCAGGGCGACACCTCAGCCCGTGGCTCCTCAGACCCGGCGCCTCGATCCCCCGTCCCCTCACAGGGCACTCCCGCGCCGCACGCACTCACTCACTCACCCTCGGCGCCGCCCGGCGCCGCCTTCATGTCGGGGTGCTGGTGCCGGTGGCGTGGCCGGTGCCGGGGCCGGTGTGGCGGCCGGGGGGGCCGTGCGCTGGGGGCGGCGGCGGGGCCGGGCCGCCCTGGCCCTCCCTCACACGGCCGCGGCCGCCGCCGCCATTGCTGCTGCGCCCGCGGCTGCGCCCCCCCGCCCCCGGAGCTCTCGCGAGACTTCCGGCGCGCGCGCGCATCGGCGGGCGTGGCTTCGCCGCCAGCCAAGGCCCCGCCCACCCCCCTCACCCCTCACAGCCACCTCGCAGCGCGGCGGCGGCCTGCGGGAGCCTTTTAACGGCGCGTTAACCGCCCGTTAGCGGCCGGTGCGGCGGGGCGGGGCACGGCTCCACGCGGCGGCGCGCCAGCAGCCTCGGAGGGCGCGGCGGGAGAAGCGGCGGGAGAAGCGGGCGCGGGCGCCATGGCGCTTCGCGGCGGGCCGGCCGCCAGGGGGCGCCGCCGCCGCCCCACGCCCCAATAAAAGTTCGCTGAGGGTGGGAGCGTCATCCCGGCGGATCTCGCGAGAGGACGAGCGCGCTCGCGCACGGGCGGCGGCAGGAGGAGGAGGAGGGACCGCGGGGAGAGGGAGGGAGGGAAGAGGGTGAGAGGGAGGCGCTCTCGCGAGAGTTGCGCGGGCTCTCGCGAGAGCCGCGGTGCCCCCCGGTCGGCGCCGCTCCGGGTCGGGCAGCGCGCGGGGGCCGGGCCGGGCCGGGGGCGGCTGCGCCGGGACCCGCCCTTCGCCCGGGGACCCTCGCCCGGGGATCCGACACCGCCGCCCGACACCGCGGGGGGGGGAGGGCAGCGCTCCGGGGGCCCCCCCCGGCACCGCCTCCCCGCGCGCCGGGCCTGGGCCCCCGCGGATGAGGCGGTGAGGCCGCGGCCCTTCCCCCGCCCCCTCCCGGGGCCTCCCTTCCCCTCCCGGGTCCCCCCCCCCCCCCTTTCCCCTCCCTCCCGCCTCCGCCGGGGCCTCGCGGCCCGCTCCCCATGTAGGAGGGAGGGCCGAGGCCCCGGGGCGGGCGCGGAGGGAGTTTGAGGGAGTTTGAAGCCCGGGGGGGGTTCCCAGGAGTTCCCCTCGGCCGTTCCCGAGCGCAGCGGGGGAAGGAAGGAATGCCCAACCCGGAGAGACATGGGGGCAAGAAGGACGGCGGCGGCGGGGCCTCGCAGGCGGGCAGCTCCAACAGCAGGGAGAGGCACCGCGCGGGCTCCAGGCACAAGAGGCACAAATCCAGGCACTCCAAGGAGTCCCCGCTGGCGGCCCAGGAGGCGGCGGCGCCCCTGGGAGCCGTGATCAAGCCGCTGGTGGAGTACGACGACATCAGCTCGGACTCGGACACCTTCTCGGACGACGTGGCCCTGAGGCCGGACAGGAGGGACAGCGAGGACAGGAGGGAGCGCGGCGAGAGGGCGCAGAAGCACCGGCACCACCAGCACAAGCGGCTGCGGGAGCTGATGAAGAGCAAGCAGGCGGAGAAGGACAGGAAGCTGGAGAAGGGCCTGGAAGCCTCCAGCAGGTCCGCCAAGGAGAGGGTCTCGGGATCCTCCAAGAGGCTCCCGGAGAGCGACGAGCACCCCAAGGCTCCCTCCTCCAAGGGCAGCAACAAGGAGTCGCGCTCGGCCAAGGCGCACAAGGAGAAGTCCAGGAAGGAGCGGGAGCTCAAGTCCAGCCACAAGGAGCGCGGCAAGAGCCACCGCAAAAGGGACGCCCCCAAGAGCTACAAAACCCTCGACAGCCCCAAGCGTAAGTCGCGGAGCCCCCACAGGAAGTGGTCGGACAGCCCCAAGCTGGACGACAGCCCCTCGGGAGCCTCCTACGTGCAGGAGTACGAGCTGAGCCCGCCGCGCTCGCACACGTCCAGCACCTACGAGCCCTACAGGAAGAGCCCCGGCGGCTCCTCTCGCCGGCAGTCGCTCAGCCCGCCCTACAAGGAGCCCGTGGGCTACCAGTCCAACGCCCGCTCGCCCAGCCCCTACAGCCGGCGGCAGCGCTCCGTGAGCCCCTACGCCCGCCGGCGCTCGTCCAGCTACGAGAGGGGCAGCGGATCCTACAGCGGGAGGTCCCCGAGCCCCTACGGGCGCCGCCGCTCCAGCAGCCCCTTCGCCTCCAAGCGCTCCGTGAGCAGGAGCCCCATCGCCAGGTGGGTGCCGATTCCCCCTCCTGGCGGGTGGGAGAGGGCTGGGATGGGGATGGGAATGCCGGGGGTTAACCTGCGAAGGGAATTACGGGAGAGGTGGGGCGGGAGGTTTTAGAAGGGGATGGAGCGATGGGATGAGCGGGAATGGGTTCGTATGGGAAGAGCGGGGGTTTAGGTGGGATATTAGGAAAAAATTCCAGGGCCTCGTGTGTGTGTCTGAATCCCAGCGCTTGGAAAGCTCAGGTTTTGCCTCTTAAGAAGTTCAGCGAGGGGAACTTGCAGGAGAGGTGAGGAAAGATTATTTCCAAGAGCACGGAGTGGCAGGACAAGGGGGAGAGGACTCACATTGAAAGAGAGGAGGTTTAGGCTGGATATAGGAAGGAATTCCTCGCTGTGAGGGTGGGGAGGCCCTGGCACAGGGTGCCCAGAGAAGCTGTGGCTGCCCCTGGATCCCTGGAAGTGTCCAAGGCCAGGTTGGACAGGACTTGGAGCAACCTGGGCTGGTGGAAGGTGTCCCTGCCCGTGGCACGGGGAGGGACTGGATGGTTTTCAAGATCCACTCCAACCCAAACCATTCCATGATTGGAATGGTTCCTCTTCCTCCCCCCCGGTGCTGAGTTTGGCCGTGGAGTGGTGTGTGTGGAGTTGCTTTGGTTGGGGTGGTGGCAATTCCCTTGGAATGGTGTCCACACTTCGGGAAACGCCTCCAAGCGTGGCAAGAGGCAGCGTCCATGTTGGCTCTGGGCAGGGAGGCTGGATGAGCTCTGGGATTAAGTTACACCCACCTCTGGAGTGGCCTCTGGGCTCCGGAGCGGGATCTAAGGCGCTTTACCTGGTGGGAAGCTCAGCCGGGGGGAGCCGTTTCACCTCTTTCTGGAAGCCTTTATCTGTTTACTCCATGTGGGAACCCGATCCTACTTCTCAGGAGGGCTCATTTTGGGTGGATTTTGGAAAGACTTGTCTTGTCTTTCCCCTTGGATCAGAGGTGGCCACGTGCAAACTCCATCTCTCAGCCTGAACTTTCTTTCCTCAGTTTCTTTCTTCCCTTCTGAAATCTGGGTGTTCTGAAAGGGTGAGGAGCCAACCTTAACTCTCATTTTTCTTTCCTCTTTTCTTTACTCCACAACTTTGCTACAGAAGGAAACAATCACTTCAAGGTAGTTCTGTGTGTTTTATTTCAGATGTTCATTAATCATCCTGTTACATGGCCAACATTGATCCTTTTTTTTTTAATTTATTTTTTTTTTTCCTAGCTTTGGCCTGTGTTCAGTGAGTTTCCAGTTGTCACCATGGCTGCTGTGGAGCTTTGCCTGGAGCTCCATGGCAATTCAGATGTGACCTGGAATGTAATGGCCATAGGAATGCTCAGCCCCTTGGTTGCTGCGCTGCATCCTCCAGATCAGCACTTCCCAGAGGCTCTTGGAATTTGGTCTCTGTCACTCAAACTTCCCTTCAGGAACGCTGCCTTCCATGGTGGACTTGCCTTTGTCCTTGCTGGACAGGCCTCTGTTGGTTTTACCCCCTGGAAGCTGTTATGTAAAATCTCTTTATTCCAGGCTGCTGCTCCCCTGCCCTGTTTTCTCTGTGTGCACCTGGGAGGCCCTCAGGGATAGGCCTGGAGGGTTTTCCCCTCCTTCCCCTCAATCCTTTTGGCTGCTGTTACACTTTATGTACTAATATTTGGAAGAGGAGGGATACAGTGGCAGGATGTGTCTATAAATTGATATAATTGTGTGTTGTGGCACTTGAGAAGTGTCAGTTCAGCCCTAAGCAGGGAGAAACCCTTGGGAACTGCAGTGGTATCCCAAGAGGTGTGTTTTCCCCTCAGGTTGCTCCACTTCTCAGGAGAACCTGGAGCTTACTCTGTGTAAATGGTTGGTTGCTTCTGAGTTTTGAAGTCCAGTTACATTTTCCTGATTTAAGGGAGCAACTTTGTGCTGCTTCCCTGAACTGCCAGACCCCCTTTTTAAGGACATCTTTGACTCAATGTTGGACCCCAAACCAAAACAGGTTGCAAAGGTTATTCACTGTTTACACTCACCTTGCACTGAGGCAGCTGACTTTGGGCAGTGACTCTATCATCCCTTCTCTTGGTTCCTGTGGAGGGGCAGGAATATTTTTGGGAGAGAAAACCTCTTTTTAACTGGCACACTCGGGCCCTGAACACCTGACTGTGGCTTACGTTCTTCAGGCTTTTCTGGGACACTCAGTTATTTCCACTGAGTGACAGCATGAGGGTTTTTTAGTGCATTCTGCATTTCCTTTCATCTCCATGTCCAAAACACGGTGTGAGGGGACTGGATCCATGTGCTGATTGGAGAAAATCCAGAGGGGCTGCACTTCCAGCGGCTGTGGAAAACAACTCTTCTCCCCTCAAGCAGGAAACAAGGAGGATTTGGTCAGCAGGGAAAATAACAGATGTGCTTTGCCATTCTGTTGTCGTTGCAGCTAAAACAGGGAGATGGAATTCCAGAGTCCTCCAGCTTGCTGGAGTTGGGATGTGCTGCATGCTCAGCGTGTGAGTGAGCACATCCTGGAGTTTGGGGTTCTTGCCCATGGTGAAAGGTCTTTGGGCATCCAAAAAATTAAGAAACAGAGCTTGTTTCCTGAGAAATTCGAGCAGTTGGGCTTCCCAGATACCACTTTTCACTTTATTCTTAATTTCTGTTGTGGTTTGGAGCAGGTGAAATGTTTTGGTGTCTGCAGGTGTTCCTGGGAGGTTGTTGGTGGGTGATGTGGGGCTTTGCCACCTGATTGCAGGGTCCCTCTGCAACACCTACTAACCAGGGCCCTGCTCAGCATGAGGAGTCTGGAAAGTTCCAGCATTCCTGTGTCCAAAGGCGATTCCAGTCTTCTGCTTGTGTGAGTTCAATGAATCTCAGAATGGTTTTCATTTGGATTTTTAGGTGAGGCATCATCCTCAGCTCTGTGTTAACTCTCAGTCCTCGTGGTTGGTATCTTCCCTTTCTGGTTTCCAGTTCTAGAGGGACAACAAGGTGGTTTTTAATCCCAGGGCATTTTTATCCAGAAGATCTGCACTTGACACTGACTTGCCCCTTATCCATCCTGGATAACCTTGGCAAAGCAAATAAGATGTGGAGTCTTCATTAATACACATTAGAGGGTGAAAGGGGTAAAAGTATTAATAAGTGGCTGCAGGCAAAGCCACAAAAAAAAGTTCCAGAGGATGGAAAGGGTTCTCTTCCCAAAGCAAAACCTCCCTGTGCACCTTGTGTACCTTGTTGCATCTGTTTTGAGATACCCAGTCATAAAAGGCCCCTCAGCAGGTGCTGTGGGTGTTGGGTGCTGGTGCTTTTGGGGCTGCTGATGGTCCAGTGATGGGAGATGAGGTTTGTTGGAGTGGTGTGGAGCTGGGAAAGCAAGAAGGCTTCTGGATGTGGGGCCTTTTTCGGGTCTGACAAAGCAGCTGTAAACACCAGCCTGGAAAATGGGCTTAGAAACAGCAGCTCTTTGTGTGATCAGGGTAGGTGATGGTTGTTAGTGAAGAGAAAACCTGGGCTGGTGGAAGGTGTTCTTCCTGGGACTGGATGGGCCTTAAGGTCCCTTCCATCCTATTCCATGGATTGGAGTAACTCTTGGGGGTTAATGGTGAGGGATGGTGGGAAACAAGGAGCAAGAAATGGAGTTTTGCAGCACCTTAAAAGGCCCATCCTGGAAGGATTGCAGGAGGGAATGCCAACCCCAAACTGACTGTGGTCCCACAGGGTTCGTTAGGAATGTTTTCCTCAGCCCCAGATGTCTTGGAGCGTGGTGAAGAGGTAACTGCTCTCCCAGCTCCTGGTGGCAGGTGAGCTGTGTCCCAGATCATCAGTTCCCTAAAAAACCTTGGAAAAAGAGACGATCCTGAGGCAGAACTCCTGGTGTGTTGAAGAGGCAAAACAGCTGAGTGGCTTTAGATCCTGCTTTTTCCTCCTTGTGGTTGTATGTTCATTTTGTGAGTTTAAAGGTGAGGACTCACCTGCAGCCCTGGTGCTTTCTTGAGGTTGTAGCAGTGAGAGACAGAGGAATGCTGATCCTTGGAGCAGTGAGGGAAGGGGGTTCTGGTGAACCTCCCCCAGTCCCAGCTGCCCATCCTGGCACGTGTTTGTGGTGACGAGCCAGGAGCTCTGTGTTACCTCAGCTCTCTGGTTTGTTTTGCCAATATTGATTGTCTCGGGATAACGTTAATTTGTGTGGCCCTACAAAGAATTTAGACCTCGTTGTTAGTTGTGTCCCTGTTTGGGATGAGGCATGTGTTTTATAGCTACTCTGGGACTGTGTTCTGAGAGAATTCCATGTTTTCCAAATATACCCTGAGAGTAATCACTCAGTGTTGTGTCTATGACATTATTTATAGGGTCTGGTCTCAGAATGTTTGCTTTTCCCCTACCATTAAACCTTCTGTCTCAACTGTCCAATCCTAGTTCCTGCTGGAGTGAAGGAAGCGGTTCTGGTTTATCAGGAATTTTGATGTGGACTCTGGAAGTTCTAATTTCCACTTTCATTTTATTTTTTCATCCTGTTTCCCCATCAATCTCCCCTGAGCTGGTGGTGGTTGCTCTCTCCTGATGGTGTGAGGTGTTCCCTGCCTTGCTTCGCTCACAGCACAGGTTTTCAGTGATTATTTCTTCATAAATACATGACTTAGAGCCCATTTATTGTAGAAGAAGACCAAGACCTCAGAAAAATTGCTGGGTTTTTTTTCATTTCTCCCAAATCACACTGTGCAAATTGGAGTTCTGATGGCAGTAAAAGAACCAGGGGGGGAAATGAACTTGAAGTGTGTGATTTCCTGAGGCAGATTTGCTCTTGTTTTAACCATTGTTTCCTTTAAAGTTGTACCTAATTCCTGTGAAAGATTCCTAACCTGCCAGCTCATCCTCTGGACTGAGGTCTCCTGTTGGCTCTGTGATCTCCTCTTTTCCTCGGGGATTGTCCAGCCTTGGTCCTTCCTTTCTGTGTTACCGGTGCGATGGTGAGGGTGGTCCTGGCCCAGGAAGGCTGGATGGTGGTAGTGTGAAACCACTCCTGATTGACTCAATAACCCCTTTCAGCAGCTTTAATCTCTCCTGACGAGTGTTGAGGACCCTCTGACCTGCCCAAACCTAGGTTCAGTTGTTGGTGAGTAGCTCAGAGTTTGACAGAAGCTTCGTTTCGTGTCTCTCTCCCCAGGAAGTCCGTGAAGTCCCGGAGCCGCAGCCCTGGATACTCAAGACACTCATCTCACAGCAAAAAGCAGAGGTCTGGGTCCCGCAGCCGCCATTCCAGCATCTCCCCCACGAGGCTCCCGCTGAACTCCAGCCTGGGAGCAGAGCTCAGCAGGAAGAAGAAGGAGCGAGCGGCCGCGGCAGCAGCTGCGGCCAAGGTGGACGGCAAGGAGGCGAAGGGCTCCCCGGTGTTCCTGGCCAGGAAGGAGAACAGCCTGGCCGAGCTGAAGGAGGCCGGGCCGGAGTCTAAAAAGGCCACCAAAATTGTGAAATTGGAGAAGGCTCCGCCAGACCCAGAGTCAGTGAACTTACTGCACACCAACGCCGAGCCCAAGGGCCCCGCGGAGCCGGCGAGGGCCCGGCTGGAGGAGAACGCGGAGCGCAAACATCCCGCGCCGGCTCGGGACTCCAAACCCTCGGGAACAAAGGACTCGAAGCCCGGAGCGGCGGTGGAGGACCTGGTATCTCCAAAGGAGACAGACACAGCGGAGAAGGAGATCCCACCCCCCCTGCCCTCAATCAAGTCCCCCCCTCCACCCCTGCCCACCACCACCCCTCCGCCTCCAACTCCGCCGCTGCCGCCTTTGCCTCCGTCTCCTGCCACCGTCCCGCCTTTGCCTCCAGCCCAAGTGACTCCTGCCCAGGCCCCTCCTCCAGCCCCAACGTCTTTGCCATCCTCCTCCCACCCAAGGACGTCTACTTTATCCTCTCAGGTGAACTCCCAGTCCTCTGTGCAGGTGGCTACAAAAACCCAAGTGTCTGTGACGGCTGCTATCCCACACCTGAAAACTTCCACCTTGCCTCCGCTTCCGCTGCCCCCTATTTTAGTTGGGGAAGATGACTTGGATAGGTAAGGTCACGCCAGAGCATCCCCTTTGCATTGAAATAACGAGGGGTTTGAGGGGAGTTTGGCAGCTGGGAGCTTCCCCTGCAGGGTACAGCTGTTGCTGGGATAGATGTGTTATCCCAAGGCCGCTCCAAGTGTTGGCCCTGGCAGGTTTGTGTGGAGAGTTTGGTGATCCCACGCAGGTAGTTACCTCTTATCCCTGTGGGAAACAGGAGTTTGGCTGCTGCTTAGTAAAGGTTTCCCCTCTTTGGTCATGTTTATTGTGGATCTGGGATTTTGCACCTCTTTGTGTTGCAGCTGTTTGCACAGACTTTACTTTTTAAAGTCGCTGGGTTTTTTTGTTTAATTCCTCCAAAACTTGTACTTGAGGAACAGGGAAGAGCTTAACACTTCCAATCCAGGGACACAAACCAGAGCTTTTTCTGTTCCCAGTTCACCAACCATGGGTAAAACCAGCACTGGTTGAACTTAAGCATTGTCTTAATTACTGAGTCATTAATACAGTCCTTTATTGCTTGAGAAGTAGGTATTGCTTAAAAATGAGTGAAACTACACCTGCTTCAACTTGATTTCCTGTAATTCCTGATCAAAACATGCAGACTTGGCTCTGTCCTGGAACTGGGGCTCTGGCTGGGCTGGGGGTGGTCGTGGTTTCTGTGATGGACTCATCTGAAAAACCTCATTGTGGGGCTTTTTTTTTTGGTGGGGGGAAGAGGGGAAAGGAACAGAATAACCAAAATGGAGATGGCAAAGAAGAAACCCAGATATTTATATTTTCTTTCTCTCCCTCCTAGTTGTTGGTGTGTTGTAGTGCTGTTAACTCCAGGTCATAAGTGATATATATTTATTCTTTTTCCTACTTGACTTGCTTAGCCTGTAGTTCCCTAAAAACTTCTGTATATTCCCAACCACTAAAGATGTGCTTGGTTTTGGGCAGTCAGCTTCTGACTCGATACAAAATCACCCTGTGATGAAGTGAACTCCTTGTGTTCCATATTCTGATTATTGAATTGATTTTCATGGGTTATCCTGGTATTGATGCCAATCGGGGAAATGTTCTCTCTGCCACCAACCTAAAAGTGAGGCTCCTGTGTGGTTGTTGCCCTCCCTGAGCTGTGTGATGTTCTTCAGCAACTAATACTGAATTTAAATGTCTCTGTGATCAGCAAGAGCTTTGAACAGATTTTTCCAACCCAAATGCCAGTCAGAGCAAATTCTGCTGCTGCATTCCCTCATTTCCAAACCCAGTTGTCCTGCAAATTTTTTTTTTAGCCCCCTACACCCAGAGCTCTTTTTTTACCACCCAGGTGTGGCTTAGTTTTGTTTTATCCCTGACCTCAGGGCTGGGGGTGATGAGGGGGATGGAGCAAAGCTCAGTAAGTGGCTTTATGTGACTTTTTCCCAATTAAAGGGTGGGAAAGCTCGTTTTGCTGAATCTGGTGGCAGTTCCGCATGGCCCTGGCTGTGCAGAATCTCCCCCTTTAACTAACTGCCTTCGTATTTACGGGCAAAACTTTCTGAACTGGACTTTTTGTTGTCCTTGCTGAGCCTGGGGAATGTTCCAGCTCCGAGCGCAGGGTTGGAAAAGGGCTTGGAGGTGTCTAAGCACAAAAAGCACCTTGTTCAATTAGAGGCTCTTTAACCTCTCCAGGCTTAGAACCTCCTCCAGGCTTAGAACCTCTAAACCCAATGCTTTTAGACCCTGCAGCAAGTCCAGGGGATTCACCAGGAGAGCAGGAAAAGCTCTTTGGGAGGAAGTGGCACAAACTCTGCGTGGGTTTGGTGTCGTGCTCCGAAGGGGCAGAGCTGGTGTAGCTTCCTGGGAACATCTGCTGGAGTGTTCACAGCACCAGCCTGGTTCCAAGCACAGATCCAGCTGCTGGCAGTGCTGCCTTTTTAGGGTTGGCATCCCTGCTGTTTTAGGGGAGGAAGGAGATCCAAGGAGTCTTTGTCAGGCTGTCTGTGCTCACCCTTTCTTTCCTGTGCTCGGGCAGCTCCGAAGGGTCTGTTTGGTTTCCTGGCTCTCACAGATGTTCTGGGGCAACTGAACTTCCAGTGACCCAGTGCTGGCGTGCAAGTAGGAAACTGAGCACGGATAATGGCAAGAGAATGGGAATTTTTTGGGAGAAGGGGCCTCCTGAAAGGCCAGGCACTGCAGGTTGACCCTACGGACACACCTTCACCCACCAAGGTCTTGCAAAGAACTGGCTTTGGAGGGGTGTGTGCAAAAAAGGCTGAACCTTTGAGATGTGGTTTGGTGGTGAATGTGACAGTGTTGATGGTTTGACTTGATCCTAGAGGGTTTTTCCAGTTAAACAATTCCATGAGTTCCTATATAGATATTTAAATGCTGTTATTCTGCTCCTCAGGAATTTGCAGTCAATGGGGGCTGAGTTTTAGCCATTCCAGCTCTCCCACTTCAGGTGTTTCTTGTCTTCCTCCTTCCTTAACTTGGTTTCACAAGAGATTGTCATGCAGATTAGGCAGAGTCTAATAAAATAATTGGGAAAATGACCTACTTCCATCAGTTCATCTGTGCTGAAGTGTCAGAGCTGATGGTGCTGACAAACACCAAACCTGCTCCTGCCCTAAAAACACACCTGGGAAGGTTGTTTGGATCTTTTCATCTTTTTATGGTGAAGCAGAGAATTCCTGACTGTTCAAACCCAGGAATTCTCCTTGCTGAAGACACAAGAGACAAAGTGGGTTCTTTCTGCTCACGTGACTCTTGCCAGTCTGAACCAAACTTCTGATGCCACTGGGAACTGGATTTTAAAAAAAATCAACTCTTGGGTTCTCAGCAGCATTCAGGAGTTAAAGCCACATTTCAGTCCTTGCTATGAAGTTAAAAGTTGCTCATGGAGAGAGGTTTAGCTCTGGGTCTGTATTTATGGCAGGCCTTACCAAGTCATGCATTTAATTTCGTGATGATAAGTGAAGTAAATAGGGGAAGTAAAGATCAGAAAGTGAGTTCTGACTGATGCTCTGAGCTGTCTTATAGGAAGCTCCAAATGACTACTGATCTGTACAGATGGAGCAAGTCCTAGTGCAGACCTGTGTGTTTATTTAATGCTGTGTTCAACTCTCACCCTTTTCTCTCCTGTTGTACGGGCGCTTGAAATTTTAAAGCTGTTTTATTTTATACTTGACCGTGCTAATTCTGACACTTCTGGTTGTCAACCAGAGCTGTTGTCCTACAGCAGCTTTTTCCCATGTGTTGAGTCTGACTCCTGTGTTGTATTAACTTTCCGGAGTTTAGTCCAAAGGAGATTCTTCCTCCGAAACCTGTGAAGAAGGACAGAGAGCAGAGACCACGCCACTTACTCACGGACCTCCCGCTCCCCCCGGAGCTCCCCGGGGGGGACCCATCTCCTCCCGACTCCCCAGAACCAAAGGCAGCCACACCACCTCAGCAACCCTTCAAAAAGAGACCAAAGTAAGCCTGGCTTTGTTTTGGTTTTGTTTTTTACTGGTGTGAGAGCTCTTTATTGAGGGAAGTGAAATGGGGAGAAGACAAGTTCCTATTTCTGTGTTTTCTTGTATAAACACCATTTCCTGTGGGTTGTTTCGTATTTGGACCCTCATTTATTTGAGAATTAGTGGTAGAAGTTGCTGGAGTGTGCCATGTTCAATCTCCAGCCACATCTACCCCAAAAGCTCTTTAATCTTTAATTCAGCTGTGCCCACAGCCACAAGAACCCTCCTCATGAGCACCCCTGTGTAAAGCTCGTGGTGCCTTTAGAAGTTGGTCATTCCACATAGGAGAGGTCCTTGTTTTCTTGATGCATTTCATGATGGAAGTGTTGGTGATGGCACTGCCCTGGCACAGGTTGCCCAGAGAAGCTGTGGCTGCCCCTGGATCCCTGGAAATGTCCAAGGCCAGGTTGGACAGGGCTTGGAGCAACCTGGGCTAGTGGAAGGTGTCCCTGCCTGTGGCAGGGGGTGGGACTGGATGGGCTTTTAAAGGCCCCTTCCAATCCAAACCATTCCACAATTCCATGATTCCATGTTCCAGGCACAGAGAACTTCCCCTGATAACAAAGTTCAAGCAGTTGTTGAGGCAGCAAAGTCTCTTAGTGTTCTGTACAGAGCATTATAAATACAAATATTTATATATATTTGTATATATATAAATACTGCCTTATAAATACAAATCAAATATCCTGCATCTTGTGAAATAGCCCAAACAATAATTTCTGTCCTACTGTAGCATAATAATGTTTTCCAGGATAATATTCCTGCACAGCAGTGCCTGTACCTGGAGTAGTTGGGATTATACAGCAAAATTCATTGAACTGTCCCAAACATTCAAATTCTTGGGAGCACGAAGCCAACATTGCTGAGCTTTGCCTTTGGGGTTCAGGGGTCAGTTTAGCAGTTCAGGCAGGTGGCACTGGGGTGGCACTGGGGTGACACTGGGGTGTCTCACAGGCCTGTTTGTTCCCTCTCCCAGAATCTGTTGTCCTCGGTATGGGGAGAGGAGACAGACGGAAAGCGACTGGGGGAAGCGCTGTGTGGACAAGTTTGACATCATTGGGATTATCGGAGAGGGGACCTATGGGCAGGTCTACAAAGCCAAGGACAAGGACACAGGTAAAGGTGGAGGGTGGCTCCAGGTGAATTCCACCTTTGGAAGCCCGTGTTGCTGTGGGTGTGCTCAGCACCCGTCCCGGGGTGGCTGGTTGGTGACCAACACCTGTAGAACTGGAAATGGCTCCTGGAATAGGCACTTCCAGAGGGCTGGAAGAACAGGAGCTCTGAAATCCTGAGTTAGTCCCCAGCTTCCCACTCTGCCTGTGAGATCCTGTGCCCTGGGTGTGTGGTTTGACCCCGGTCAGGGGATTGTGGCAGCCACAGGTGCCAATTAAACCTCTGCTTTTTCGATGGGCCCGTGTCAGACTTGATTGTAGCAGAGAACAATGGGAAATTCTGGGGTAAATGTGTGTTCCCCTGTGTGAGTTCCTGCTGGAGCAGCTTAGGAGGAGCACAACCATCAATCCAAGTGTGATAACTCCTGGCAGAGCAATTTAACTGAATTTAGGGGGGTAACTAAAGCTGCCTCCGCCGCCCTTGGTGGGTGTTGTGCTCGTGGCTCCTTCCAGCTTCCCTGGAGCCCCAGGGGAAGGGCTGGTGAGGAGGGGAGGGTGTGACCCAGGTGTGCCATGGCAGGTGAGCTGGTGGCCCTGAAGAAGGTGCGCCTGGACAACGAGAAGGAGGGATTTCCCATCACGGCCATCCGGGAGATCAAAATCCTGCGGCAGCTCATCCACCGCAGCGTCGTCAACATGAAGGAGATCGTCACGGACAAACAAGATGCACTGGATTTCAAGAAGGACAAAGGTACCTGGTTGCTCCAGGTGTGAGTTTTCCAGCAGCCACAGATGTAGTGCAACCCATTGGTTTGGTGCAAAACTCAAAATCTGAACTCTGGGGTGGCTTTGTTGGGTTTTTTTGTGTTCCTCCTTTATAAGCAGTTCCAGGGAGTTTGGCAGCTGGGCTTGGCCTTTCCTCAAAGGATAGATCCAAGTTAAAGTGATTTGTTGCACTTAGAAAGGTGACTTCATTCCTGCAGAGTCACAGATGAACAGGCTTTAACAAAAAAAGGCCTTTACAGGGTCACTTCTAACACTGATTAGTGGCAACAAACTTATCAATAGTGTGAAAAGTCTTGTGTCTTCCATCACTGTGGAAGGAGGGTGTTTTATAATCCCACTGGCTCTTGTTTGGGACCTTCCCTTCCATGAGGGAGAAGGGAGCAACACAAACATGAGTTCAAACCATTCATAGCAGTGATCTCCTCAACAAACTCTCCTGAAGGGAAATAACCAAAGCAGGGGGGTAAACATGGCCAGGATTTCAGAGGAATTTATTTGGAGTGCACATTTAATTTCAGATGTCAGCTTGGAGGGGCTACTTGGTTGTTTTGGGGTTGTTTTTTAACCCCTTAAGCCCTAAACATCCCAAGGCTGTTAAAGACAACAGTGCACAGAAAAGACTATTTCAACAATTGAATCTACTTTCATTCCTCCTTTTTTTTGTGTGTCTGCTCTTCAATCATTTCTTTGTTTCTTATCCCAGGTGCCTTTTACCTTGTGTTTGAGTACATGGACCATGACCTAATGGGGCTGCTAGAATCTGGCTTGGTACATTTCTCAGAGGACCATATCAAGTCTTTCATGAAACAGTTAATGGAGGGTCTGGACTATTGTCACAAAAAGAACTTCCTTCATCGAGACATTAAGTGCTCCAACATCTTACTGAACAACAGGTAACCTGGGGGTGGATCCACCTCTCTCCAAGCTCTTCCCTGTGCTCTCCCTGAGAGGACACATCATCCTCACCTTGGCTGTGCTCGGGGGCAGGAGGTGTGGGAATAATCCTGTCCATAGTTCCAACCCTGTGGCTGGATATCCACCTCAAGAATTCCTCTGGGATATTGGCCCAGTGGGAAGGGTTTGTGATACAGATGACACTGAATTATTGCTTTATTTTTTACATTTCTTTGAAGTGTTAAATCTTATTTGGGAAACTCAGACTGGCATATCCAGCAGTGGTTCCTGCAGAGGTGGCTTTGGGAGGCCTTTCTGCTCCATGGGGGGGTTTCCTTACCCTTGGACTGGAGTTTAACCAGGAGCAGGGCTCTGATCCTGCTGGGTCCCTTCCAGCTCGGTGGGTTCTATGATTTATCTGCTTGACTCCTGCTGGGATTCAAACCAGGGCCTGTTTTTTTCTCTTCCAGTGGGCAAATCAAACTCGCGGATTTTGGACTCGCCCGACTCTACAGCTCAGAGGAGAGGTGAGGAGGGGACAGGGGGGACACAGCTGGGGTGGGCTCCTTCCTCCTGAACATCCACAGGATCCCTGCTCTTGGAAGTCCTGAGAAATGATTCCCAGTGTATCCTCCAGCTCCAGCTGTTGGACAAATACGCTCCTGGCTGCCAATAATAACTTTTCATTGTAAAACCAGATGACGAGGAGCCAAAACATCTTCTCTGTTTGCCTTGGAGCTTGTTTGGCTCCCAGATCAGCCACTACTCAGTGATGGCAGCACATTCAGCCTCCTGAGGGGCAGGAATTTAGTCTTGGGTACCTACAACTGGAGTCCTGAGCCCTGTAAAACCCGTGGTACCTCCTCTTCCCTTAACTCAGGGAAGTGGAGGCACCTGCAGTGCCCCTTCTGCTGCTGGCACATGTTGGACTCTGCAGCTGGGCAGTGAAAACAAACCCTTTTGAAGGGTTTTGTGGCTCCTGCCATCAGTTTCTGTTTGTGCTTTGCCTTCCAGCCGGCCCTACACCAACAAAGTGATCACCTTGTGGTACCGACCCCCGGAGCTGCTGCTGGGGGAGGAGCGTTACACCCCTGCCATCGACGTGTGGAGCTGTGGGTGAGTGTTCTCTTGGCTCTGAGCAGCAGCTCAGGAGCATTTCCCATGGAATCTGGGCTCATTCCTGCAGCTGGATCTGTCCCAGCCGTGCACAGGGTTCTGATAAAAAAAAATTTTTAAAAATATTGTTTTAAACGTAAAACGTTTTATATTCACATTAAAAATAACATTTAAACTAGATTTAAATTCATTAATAATAATAATTTTCATAATAATTAATAATTATTAATAATATTATAATACAATTATACTGTATACTAATATGGTGGTATGTGTTTGTATTTAAAATATTATATTTAAATTATATTAAATTATATATTATATGAGTATATATTATGTATTATATAATTATATATTATTCATATAAAGTTTATATAATATATTAAATTATATAAAATTATATATTATGTGTATATATTATATGTATATAATATATAATATATATATTTTATATATTATATATTATTGTATATATTTTGTAGATATAAAATATATATTATCTATTATATACATATATAAAAATATATATTATTATATATACATAATATACATATATTTTTTTATATATATTATATATATTTGGGCTGGATTGCCCAAAATGGGAACACTTCCCCTTGGGGTATTCACAGCTGAACTTCAGCAGAGCTTAGAGCACAAACAGAGGGTTGTGAAAGCCAGCAATTAATCCTGATTCCTGCTGGGAATTCTGGCAGTGAGGTCCAGTTGCTGCTCAGTGTCCTGTGCCACGAGAGGGGTTGTCCCTGTTCCAGCAGCCACAGGCCTGTGCCCCCCTCAGCTGCTCCTGGCACTGATTCCTGGGGGCTTGAGGGATGTCAAGGCCTGAAGGAGTCAGAGCTGTGCCCTCCCTCCTCCTCTTTCCCAGCTGTGTGTCCACACAAGTCCATGTCCAGGGACACACAGGTTGGGGCAGCTGAGGATGATTTGGGGCAGCTGAGGATGATTTGGGGCAGC